GATTCTTCAGCCCAATCTGACCTGGAGTTCGCTATCTGCTCCCATGTTTGTCCAGATTCGAATATAATGTTGTTAGAGATCAGGATATTACTGCTTTCTTTTTCTCCCTCCCTTACTGTTTTATTGTTCTTATTTGAGATTAATACCAGTAGGAATGTGGTTGCGATTTTGTTTTATAGTTGCAACATGATGAAATGTGTCTTCTATTCTGTTTCTTTGTTTTTCTTTCTCTTTTGCTATTTGATCAAAAAACGTGCACTCTCGATCATACAGGGTCCTTCCAGAACCTTGGATGGGAGATCTCAGTCCGGTCATTCATTTTCTTTTACTGTTCTGGCTGAACACTGATTATTCATTTCAGATAGAATATAAATTAATTGAGAGTTATCTTCCTTTTAATTTAAGATGATTTTTTTACGTTGTCTTAGTTTTCTTATCCGTTCCATTTCAACCCTCCCCTATCACGCTTCACGTGTCAGCTTAATCAGTTAGGGTGTCAGCCACTTCAGTTTTGTTAGCTTACATGCCTTTTCTGGGGCCCATGTAAAATAATGTCATAAAAAAGGGCAAAAAACAACATAACATAAAAATTTAAAAAGGATAAATAAAAAAATGGAAAAATTAAAAAACATTTAAAAATAAAAAAAAATGAGAGAAGAAAAAGCATTTAAAATAAAAGGGATAGGAAAGGTTAGTCCAATACACACAAAAGAAAAGAAAAATATTAAAAATCCAAAAATTGAAAAAAAAAGAAAAAGAATAAAGAAGAAAAAAATAAAAAAGGCAAGAAAAATAAATAAAATATTCTCGAAAGAATTAAAAAATAAAAAAAAGAGATAAAAAGATAATAATAAATTCAAAAAAATAAAAAATAGAAAAATTAAAGCTGAACTCTTAAAAAAAGAAAGAAAAAGAAAAATGTAAAGAAAACAAAAAACAAAAAATAAAAAAATCGAATTTCTAAAAAATACAAAAACAAAGTGATGTGTCAAAAAAAACAAAACAAAATAAAAAGCATAACAATTATGAATAAAAATTACGAATGTAGGGAAAATCAAAGAAAATCAAATAAGAAGTCTAAAAAAATCAGCAAAAGTAGAAATACAAAAGAAAAAGAAGAAAAGAAAAAAGCAAAAAAAAAAGAAAAGAAAAGAAAAGAAAAGAAAAGAAAAAGAAATAAGAAAAGTGAATAATAAAGAAAACAAAAAAAATCATTTAAATAAGAGAAATTCTATACATTTCTTTAGGGTAACTAAGGAAATCAATCATTACACAAAAGTACAAATAAAAAATATTAATATAAAACAAGAATTAAAGATCTAAAAGAAGAAAAGAAAAAAGAAAAAATGAAATATATATATTTTTTCAAATAAAAAACAAAAAAACAATAAATAAAATCACCTCAGATTGATCGAAGAGTCAAAAATAAAAAAATAAATAAGTAATAACTAAGTTGTAAAATGTGGGATCTGTATACAGTGATAGCATGAAACACAAAAAAAAGGAGAAAAAAGAAAGAAAAATAAAAGTAAAACAAAAAAAACATAAAAATGTAAAAAATTATTATAATAGAATAAAAAAAACAAACAACAAAAAAGGAAGATAAAAGTTCAAAAGTAAATAAAAATGAAAACATATTGAAAGTAAAAAAAACTAAAACACAAAATACAAAAAAAAGAAAAAAGAAAAAAAAAAGAAAAAATCAAAATCCAAAGAAAATGCAAAAAAGAAGAGAATCCAAAATCCCAAAAAAGGGAAAAAACCAAAATACAAAAAAAAAAAGAAAGAAAAGATAAAAAAAGAGGAAATGATGAAAATTATTATAAGACATTTAGAAACAATAATAATAATTAAGAAAGAAAAAATAAAAAAGAAAGAAAAGGAAAAAAGAGGATGAGGATGATCCGGATTTCTTTGAATTTGTTTTAATTAACCAAAGTTTTGGGAAATGTAATAAATGTTTTACCAAACAAAAAAAAGTGATGAAAAAAATCAAATCATAAAAAACAGAAGAAGAAAGGAAAGGAAGAAGATGTATACAAAGGGGAAATAAGAAAATAAAGCAAAAAAAATACAAAAAAAGGGAAAATAGAAAAGTAAAAAAAAAACAAAAAGAGAGACAAAAACTTGATATAATGAATTGAAGAAAAAACATTTGAACGTGCGTTCAATTTGTGATAGATGTATTGTCCGTTATGAGTTGATATATTATTGTCTAATACTCCCTTCTTTATGGCATTTTAAGGCAACAACAATTTAAATAAACCACTTATTTATGATAGTTTAAGAACTAATTTGTTAACCTAGCCTATTTGCTTATAGTATTCATGGTTTCATGTTTAATTGATTTGTTTTTAAGTTTTAATTAACCATTTGCCATTTTCATTCATAAACTTGCTTTTATCTTTGTTGTTTTATTTTGCTTGCTAGGGTAATGCTATTTGCTTAACTATTAAGCCCATAACTCTTTATTTCCTTTGAAATCATTAGCCAGTAAAGGACAATTGATCTTGGTGTATGTAGGTAGGGGTGAGCAAAAAAAAACGAAAAACCAAATCGATCGAAACTGAATTGAAAAATCGGCTAATTGAACGTTTGAATTGATCGGTTTGGTTTTGGTTAACCAATATAAAAAACCGGCGGTTAACTGAACCAACCGGTATACATATATTTCTATATATTTTATATACATTTATGTATATTATATATTATATGTTTTTATATTATATAAATTAATAAATATTTATTATATATAAATATATATTTATAATATATTATATATTATTTAAAATATACTATTATATATTAATAATTTTTATTTTATATATATATATATATATATATATATATATATATATATATTGTAAAAACTAAAAAAATGAAAAACCGACAAACTGAACCGGCGGTTAACCGAACTAGTCAACCGGTTAACTGACTAGTTTCAATTCGGTTCCGTTACCTGTTTTCCAAAAACCGATACTACCAGTTCGGTTCAAGAAAATGCCCTACGGTTCGGTTAACTGAACCGTGAGCACCCCTATATGTAGGGTGCTTACTACTTAGTACCTTATGTCGCACCTAGGGGTGTCAATTGGACTGGATTTGGTCCAATCCGATCCAGTCCAATGTGAGTCCATTACAAATGGACCAGGTCCAATCCAATCCAATAAATATTTTGGACCGGTCCAATTCAATGTCTGGACTGTCCAATCTGTTCAAATTCGTTTTAATTTAGATTGATTTCAACCCAAATCCGGTCCATTGATATCTATATTCTCATCTTATATCAATGGATTACATAATGACTTAATCCAACCCAATCCAACATAAATTTATTACAGACAAATCAGGTCCAATCCAATCTAATAAATATTTTGGACTGGATTGATCCAATACTCCATTGCAATATGCCTTGTTGGTCCACCCAATTTATCCAAATTGATTTTGGACTGGATGGGGTCCAGTCCAAAACAGGTCCATTGACACCTAATCGCACCTCAATCTTGGTGCGTTGATACCATTCCAACAAAAATGAGAATGAGATTCCAATTCCACCCAAACAGTTAAATGTTCCTGAGAACCAAATAGGCCCTAAATCTTTTTTTTTTTTAATCTAAACATCAAATCCATTGCAATTTGCAAGTGTTCGATGTTAGCCTTCTACATTTTAGTTTTGCGTGTCCGAAACTAAATTTCACGAATTTTCACAAACGCTTGAAACAGTGTATACTTTTTTTTTTTTAGTAAAGACACGTCAAACAACCCTATATAGGAACTGGAAATTGGCGTCCAACATTGTTGCTTTGGATAAAGAACCATCTATTTAAAAAGATGAATAAAAGTTTCAATTTCGGTGTAAAACAATAGATGGATTCAATTTCAAATTTGAGACATTTAGATCCAAGTGCACACTAAAAATATTTTCAATGGATTAACTCAATGATGAGGCACAGAGCATTTCAATTAAGCTGTACAACAGGAAGATTTATATGCTTTCCAAGCAGGTAGTAGCCATGAGGTATGATTTTGTTTTTGCTGACATGACAGTTGTTTTGTTTTGAAAAGCAAAAAATTACAGGGCCCCTCAATTGTCTTTAGAGTAAAGGTTCCAGCTCACTCACTCGTAAAGTCTCCTCCTGGTTGTAATATAGTAATAGGAGTCAAATACTGCTTTCGCGCAGCGTGTTTATTTTTTTTTCTTTTTCTTGGGGACGGGCTCCATTTTGTTTAGCCCATTTCTGCCAGCCCAATTGTTTTAAAGAATAATTCATGTTTTTGAAACCATCGGATTTTAAAACAAAAACAAATGTTGATGAAATATATTATATGATTTAAAACAAATATATGCTTTTCAAATCAGAAATTCAAGAATACGTTTTTTCTCATTGTTTTATCATAAACCAAAAATACATTTACAATCAATAACATGTTTTTCAAGTTTTGTTTTAAAAATCAATTTGTTTCCAAACTAAATGGTTTTAATTTGTTTCCGATCTCACAACACACCCTAAATTAAAATCAACCAGTAAGAAAAGAGAGAATTTTCATCACGAAAACCTTGTTATTGATAGAACTTTCAAAGCATATAATATCATTCTATAAAAAGCACAGAGTTGGGACTGGGCACCACTAAGGAAACGTATACAACGTGAATTGTACGTGTTTTTTGTTTCCAAAACTGAAACTAAAAACATGTTCTTGAATCCGGTTTATTTCATCTGATTTTTCAAGATGATGTTCCATAAACCATATAATTTCTATATTAGAAAATTTGTCTTTGTTTTGTGTTGGTTCCAAAAACATGTATTATTTTTGAAAAAAAAAACTTGTTTTTCCCTTTGAAATATAAAACATAAGAACATATTTTTGTTTTTTTGCTGATGTGGCGATTCCAAAAACAAACAAAATAACATTCATGTTGTAAAACTCCCCCTAAGAAAGCGGATAGTACTGGATGAAAATCTAGTTCACAACCATACCCACCGTCTACTTTTATCATGTCCTATCTGCCATCAACCCGTTGGTATTTTGCGTCTTCTGCATGTGTTTTCTTTTTCTTCTTTTTTTTTTTTGAAAAGAGTCTTCAGAATGTTCATGCATGAAAATAAATCCAGAACTCATAAACCAGTCAACTCAAAATGCAGAATACAAAAGCATCAATAAGGTAAACCGTGTATTCCTCTTCGCAACCATAATTGATAAGCAGTCATATGGAAGGAATCATAGCCTTTAGGAGTTGTGTGCCATTTGAAGTGTCTTCTAATTTTACATAGATTATTGTGCATTCTCAAGTACAGTTGTCTGGATATTGACAACAGTATCCGTTTCACCAAGGCTATGTCTCGATGGCTGATGATGACAGAAAACTTGCTCCAATCCAATACATTGGCAAAAGGAAGGTCATAGTGATTGGATATTATCACAGGAATGCAACCATAGTATATAGCATCGGAGATCCTCGCAGTATTGACTTCGTATCCCTTCACATGGAGACAATATTTGCTCCTCCTAAACCCTTCCTCGTATGGGAAAGGAGGATTTCCAGAAAATATGTCCATGCAAGTATCATTTGCCCATGTGTCTACCAGCTCTTGGCGAACTTGAGAGTTCTGTATGCGTCCAGCAAAGAAAACTAATCTGTTCCTATAATGAGAAAAAAATAAATAAATGCATAAAGCCATTTACGATGGCAAGTAAAAACAGAGCCATCACGGAATATACAGACCCCAATATAACCCACATAATCCTCTCACTTATAGATACATCTAGAGACCTATCAAAACACATTCCATTGAATGATAAAGACAAATAGAATTTGTGATGTCACTGTAATACCTCCCATACCTTTTCATCTCTTGATCCTATCTACCCAATTTTCATTATCACTTCATCATTGTACACATTGAAGGAAGGTGAACGTGTGCAAGCTGTATGTTTTTTTTTTTTTTTTTTCTTTTGGTGAGAGCATCAACGATCATCATTCTTTTCTCTGTGGTTTGATCCAAGAGAGAGAGAGAGAGAGAGAGAGGACTAACAGTTTCAAATGGATTCTTTAGACTGACCGACCTATTTGATAATCCTAGAATCTGAAAAGAATTCTGTGGATTTGCTTTTAGTATTTGTTCTTTAAATTGAATTGTCTGGCCTTCATCTTAAACTGTTGTGCACTTTGACCTTTCCAATCCAAAAGCTTGGGAGATGATTTTGCTTTCAAATGTTTAAAATTATTATTCCATATCAGCCTTTGCAGCATCTTGGAAAAAAGTATGTATATCTAAAATAGAGGGTAGTCTAGGAATCAGAAGGCTCAAAACAGTAAACTTGGTCCTCCTTGGTAAGTGATATTGGAGATTCAATACCCATCCTGATAGCTTGCAGAGGCATGATAGTGGAAAAGTAGGGGCTGAGAAATATTGAAGGGTAATTGAGAAGAGTAACAGTAAATTCATGAAGGGGATGCTAGGTGTTGGTGGACATTGGTGGTTCTGTAATACCTTGGAAAGGGCACATGGTATGGCAACCTCCCCTCAATGGAGGAATTTCCAGCACTGTACCTGGTAGCTAGAAACAGAAATTCTATGGTGACAGATTGCTTTGAGATGCACAATGGGAGGTGATTTCGAGCTAGGTGTGATCATTCTTGACCCATTCTGAAAACCCAGCCTACCCCAGCCCGCAATATATCATCGTCCCATGCCTTATTAATGCAGGAGAAAAGGTCTAGTAGATCTGTTCTAGTGATTTTTACAGCAAAAATCACCCAAACTGTTTGAGAAATTCAATAGTGAAGAAAGAAAAACAGCTTTCTTAAGCTTGAAGTAATTGAATATCCTCCTTTTTCTCCTTCGAACAGCAGCTAATAATGTTCTTATATAAGGGTTCTATTTAGGTCGGCAGACAATAAAACCCTGAAATTACAAAAACACCCCCGTCCCAAAATAGTAAGGAAAACCCAAAAATAACTCTATATACCATGTAAGACTTCCTAACAATAATAATCCACTAGAAGTCATTAATTGATTGAGAAACAACCTAGGAAATCATCAAAACAAGAAAACAGCTAAATTCAAGCACAAGAATTCTTCACTTGCTCAGTTGCTTGTTCCTTCTAGATTTGCCTTGTGCTTCTTCATAATTAAGCGCTGCAGCCTCTACAACAGTCCCCTCCACTTGAAGAGGACTTGCCCTCAAGTCTTGTTTGGAGATGGATGGATGGTACTCAAAGAGATCAGCAACATTGAGAGTTCTAGATATATTCATGGAAGTAGGTAGGTCTACAACATAGGTATTGTTATTAATCTTCTTCACGATCTTGTAGGGTCCAATCTTCTTTGGCTGCAACTTGTTGTATTTCCCTGTAGGGAACCAGTCCTTAGAAACACCATTACTTCATCCCCTTCTTTGAAAAACTTTGGTCGTCTATGCTGATCAGCTGCTTCCTTATACTTGGCATTGGCCTCTTCTACGTGTTTCTTTACTTCTTCATGAATAGATATGTTGTCAACAAAGTGCTCCGCTACAACACTATATCCTGGCAATTTTGGAAGTGGCACCAAGTTTAAAGTATGTCTAGGAGTGTGCCCAAACACAATCTCAAATGGAGATTTTCCAGTAGATTTTGTTCACCATGTTATTATAGGCAAATTTTGCTTATGCAAGAGCTAAATCCCATTGGTTAGGCTTCCAACTAGATAGATTGTCCACACACATCCTCCAACTCCCATCCTTCTTTGGTGTAAGTAAGGCTAGAACGGCACATGGGCTAGCACAGATTTGCACAATTCCTTTCCTTAAAAGTTCATCCACTTGTCCTTCCAAGTATCTAATGCTCCTTGAGACTCATTCTGTAATGTGGCAAATTTGGCAAACTAGCCCTTGGAATCAAGTCAATAGCATGCTGTATTTCCCTCATAGGAGGTAATCTATCAGGTAATTCCTCAGGGAAAACACTTTTATATTATTCAAATAATGGTTTCATGGCATCGTTACACCGATAGGTGGGGAACCTTAACCCTTGGCAACAATAACATATATCTGCCCAGTCTCTTTAGATTCCTCCAAGAATCTAAGTAAGAAGGGTGTGCCTCTCCACTTGAGAAGTTTTGGGGCGTTCCTTCATTCCCAAAGGTGCAAGAACAATCTTCTGTTTATCTTTAGTGAAAATATAAAGATTATCCTTGCCCCTATAAGTGACATCATAATGGAATTGCTAAGGTCTTCCCAAAATAATGTGGCTAACATCAATATCCATAACATCAAATAGTAATTCATCAAAATGTACATCACCAAAAGAGAAAGCCACCTTGCACTGTTGTGAAACTTTTTTCTGGCTGAATCCTATTCACACAACCAGCAATGAAGGGACCGGTGCTAGGTCTTGTTCTTGTTAGCAAGCCTAACTACTCTACAATTGATTTGGAAATGATATTTGCTTTGTCCTGCTGTCAATAATTAATTGACATACACAATATCTTTTATTCTACATCGTGTATTGATCTTTTTCTCTTGTGTGTCGAGTATTGGTTACTTAGCTGCATGAAGAATACATTTGACTACACCAAAAGACCTCTCTTCTTCTGGAAAAGCCTAATGAATATCGTCTCCCAAAACGTCTTCTTCATCAACAACAGGCTCTTCATTTTGAGGTTGAAAATCTAGGCTGTCTTCAACTTGTTCAATCATATTCACTCCTCTTGTGCGTGGTTGTGGACAAGAGCTAGATGTATGACCACTTCCCCCACACCTATAGCGTTTATTCCCTATAGGATGTGCATAGGGGTTGTTACTTCTAGGTTGATTACCCTGCTGGATAGGTTCGTTTCATTGTATTCGAGGCTGAATTGGTTGCCCCTCTAGGCTGGTTCTTTTGTTGGAAAGTGTTATGGAATGAGGCAGTGGGCATTCCAGCCTTAGGAGCATCCAAGAGAGAGTGTTGGTTCTCCCTAACAACCTCTTTCCCCTTCTCAACAATAGTCTTAACCCTAGATGTCTCACGCAAGATGTCTTTCAGCCTTTACAACTAAACGAATAGCTTCATTCAAATCCCACACATCTTGGGCTGCAACTCTTTCTTGTATGATTGGTTTGAGGCCCTCAATAAACCAAGCAGCCTTTTGTGGTGGAGTTTCAGCCAAACTCATTACGAACTGAAAGCCTGAAAAATTCAGATGCATACTCCCTAACCCCACGTGTACCTTGCACACAACGCTGGTATTGTTGGAACAAGTATTGGTCGTAATCACATGGAAGGAATTAAGCCCTAAGTAACTGCTTCATTCTTGGCCATGTCCTTATAGGTTGCTTTCCAGCCCTAACTCTCTCTATCTGAACTTGATCCTACCAAGTAGTGGCTCCCCATTTCAGCTTATAAGAGACCAATTTCACCTTCTTATTTTCTACTGTCTTGGAAAAATCAAAGAATTTCTCCATCTCATGAATCCAATCTAGGAAATCTTCAATATGCAACTGTCCATTGAAAGTTGGCAACTCAATCTTCACCTTGTAATCCCTATCACCATTATTCCGTTTTTTATGTGGTTGTCTAGCTTCACTAAAATCAAAGTCTGTTGCTAGGGCTTGGAACGTGGTTGTTCTTGAGGCTGGAGTGCCTGAAACTGATTCCCTAGATCAACTCTCCTTGCTGGTACAGCAGGCAAACCCCTAGTTTCTTCTTGGCTCGAGGCTGTACTAGGTGGCTGAAGATTAGTCCTAGTTATTGCTTCCATGAACTGCCTAATAGCAGTTTCTAAACCTTGAAAGGATACAGCTTGTTGCTGTTGTATCTCTGATGGCTAAGAGAATCTCAGATCCATCACTGGAAGCATTGTTGTAGGCCATGTCTGAGGGAAAACTCAGGCTCTGATACCACCTAATGCAGGAGAACAGGTGATTTTTACAGCAAAAATTACCCAAACTGTTTGAGAAATTCAAGAGAAAGAAGAAAATAGAGTGAAGAAAAATAGCTTTCTTAAGCTTGAAGTAATTGTATATCCTCTTTTTTCTCCTTTGAGCATTAGTTGATAATGTTGTTATATAGGGATTCTATTTAGGTCGGTAGCCAATAAAACCCTGAAATTACAAAAATACCCCTGCCCCAAAATAATAAGGAAAACCCATAAATAACCTTATCTAATAGCTGTATACCCTATAAGACTCTTCCTAACAATAATAATCCACTAGAAATCATTAATTGATTGAGAAACAACCTAGGAAATCATCAAAACAAGAAAACAGCTAAATTCAAGCATGAGAATCCATGACTTATCCCTGTATGTGCAGGGATAACTGGATAAGGTTATGTACATCTGTCCCTCCCCAGACCCAGCATTGGTGGGAGCCTCGTGCATTGGGCCACCCTCTCATCCATGCCTTATCCCAACTATATGGGGTCAGCTACAATCCTGTTTTGCCAATCCAATCTATTTAAAGCTATATCCTTTGTTAAATTATTAGTGCTTGAATCATTTCTTACTACTTCTACCCATGTCCTTTTTGGTCTACCCTTATCCTATAGCCCCTTCAACTTGTAACAAATCATTTCTTTCTAAGTTCTAATTGGTATTGCTGATGGTCTTCTATGCACATGAAAAAACCATCTTAGTCTAATTTCTCTCATTTTATCACATATTGGGGCTACTCCTAGGTTCCTACAGATGACTTCATTCCTAATCTTATCCTTTCTAGTTTTCCACTCATCCATTTTAGCATTTGCATTTCTACCACACTCATTTTCTAAACATGTTTGTTGATTGCCCAACACTCTGCTCCATACAACATAGATGGCCTTACAACTGTTTTATAGAACTTTCCTTTTAGCTAAGTGGTATTGCCGATCACATAAAAGTCTAGATGCACCCCTCCATTTTTCCCATCCTGCTCTAATTCTTTGGGTGACATCCTTCTCAATCTCTCCCTTCTTATGGATGATTCAACCAAGGTACTGGAAATGGTCACACTGAGTTATCTGTTGATCTCCAATCTTAAGTGTATCCTGATTTACGCTTCTATTAAACTGGAGTTTTTTCGATTACATGTTAAGAAGGATGAACTTCGGAGTGAAATGGAGAAATTGGATAGAAGTATGAATATCCTCTTCTTCCTTTTCAGTGTTGGTTAACGGGAGCTCATTTGGATGGTTTAGGAGCTCGAGGGGGTTAAGACAAGGGGACCCTCTCTCCCCGTTGTTATTCATTTGTGTGACAGAAGCCCTTTTTAGATTGGTAGAGAGAGCTCGATTAGGAGGACTTGAAGGTGGGAAATGGGGTTAGAGATGGCCCTACTTCAGTTCGTAGATGATACTCTTTTTTTTTTTTTTTTCTGTAATGCATCTTGGGATCAAATCTGGAATGTGAAGGGGTCAGTTTTTATTTTTTATTTTTTCTTTGAAACTGGTTCAGAGGGGTCGGTTTAAGGCTGGTTTACCCCCTGAACTAGACCAAACCCTGAAACGCCCCTTGTAGGGGCATACTGAGGAAACCCTAGATACGATATGTATAGGTCAATACGCTCCAATACGTTACGATTTTTTTATCCTTGATTGGGAAATAGATGGCTAGACAATAATAAGGGCATGGAATGAGGTGGCACACTCTTCTAAAGGAAAGGAAAAAAAGATGATGGAATGAAGTCCCCAACAATGGATAAGATAAAGTTAAATTTTGACGAGAGAACTATGGGAAACCCGGGAATGGAAGGTATTGGTGGTATGTTTAGAGACTCCTCAAGCAAAGTGTTGGCTATGTACTTGGGACCTATAGGAGAAGGGTAATCACGAAGGGCTGAACTGATGGTGCTGTTACAACGCTTAAAATTTGCTAAGCAATTAAACTTCAGAAACATGGAAGTCAAAAGAGACTCAAAAGTGGTTACTTCTTGGACCACTTCTAGAAATAATGTACCTTGGATTTATAGACATGCCTTAAGGGAGATAGAAAGCCTGAAAGGAGACTTGAATGCCTCATTTACTTGGATAAGCAGGATGACTAATGGGATGGCTGACACTTTAGCTAAGCAAGGGGTATTTAGGCAGCAACTATTTTGGGCTTTATTGTAAGTTGTTATTGGGCATTAGCATTGTTGTATCAGGTCTCTGTATTCTTGGGTGAATGGATACCCACTCTGCTGTAACTCATTTCTTTCACCTATTGATATAATTAATCTTTTGCTGATCAAAAAAAAAAAAAAAAGATGGCTACACAAATCTGCTGAACTTATTAAACAAGGTAAAGCCTGTGATCAATTTTGATACTAAAATTTGGAAGTGGGATATCTCATGGTTATTCCTCTCAAGATCTTTTTTCAGGAGGCTTGATCAAAGCATCACAACCACTTATGACTTACTTAGCAGCAGAGTTTTTCTCCCTCATATACCCTCAAAGGTCTCTTTCCTAGAAGGGATTGCAGTTACAGCATTATATAAATACTATTTATATAAACATATAGTACAAATATCATAATATATAATGTTTAAAAATACATATATTTATTATAATAAAATATATTTTTTATAGCTTACAATACAAGTTACAATATTTATATTTATCAAACAGATATATTCAAGAGGGTTAAATTTGTAAAATAATATACTTTCAGATGTTTTTTTTTGATAAATAAACAAAGAGCTTATTAATGTGGAGGCGCCCTAGCAAAACAAGGGACTGTAAGGGAGAGACTTTACTGGAAAATGCTGTAATGTTTGATGTTTATTGGATCAACCTTTTTTAATAAGGGTTGACTTCTGTAAAGTTATCGTTTCTGATCAATATATATATATATATATATACTGTAGTCCTATGGTCCCTGTTGTACTGTAGTCTTTGTCTTCTTTTTATCTTTCATACCACCAAGGGCCCTTTTTGTAATTATTCATTTTTCACCTTTAGCCCTTCAAGGGGTCCTTTGTAAATACATATAATTGATATATATATATACTCTTTGGGTGTGGGGGTCAATTCATTCTGTTAGACAGCCCTGAAGCCTTTGGTGTTCTCACAAACTGGAAGATTGACAATTAAATATCAAAGAGAATAGGCGCTGCAAGCATCCACAGAGAGGCATGAGGTGTTACCTCTCACACAAACTTTATAGAAGATAGAATCAAAACAATTAAAACTGTGCCCAATACAAACAGTCCCTATTAACCCCTTGTTTAGCTAGCTAACCCATGTGCCATAGCATCAGCTGCTCTCCTAACCCAAGAGATTTTCAAGTTCATGTTTCTGGTTATCCATTTAAACCTTTTCATTTCATCCCTAAAACATCATAATAAAGACTCCAGGTGCCATAGTATACTTTCAGATATTACAACATTCAGATATTGAATAATTCAACTGCACTCAGAGGTACAGAAAAGCAAAATGGAAAATTTTGATTAAGAGTCCAGCGCCACATTCAGATCCTTTTGCTTTTTAGATATCAAAGTTAGTTTTTGTTCTTGCTTCAGCACTTCTAGGTCTGAATCAATCGAGTTTTTAGAGATAGGAGTAGAAACTTAAGTGAAAGGTGATAATCTTTGCATGGGAGGACAAAGCCAGTTTTACACAGTTGAGCTCACCAGCCCCAGTTGAGATTAGAGCAGGTCAATGTTCTCCAAAGAACCAGCCTCAGTTAAGTGCAGTGCAGTTAAACAATATCATATTGTACAGAAAAGGTAAAAGAGTGTAAGAGCGCAGAAATCTATTTGACTATCCCTACCATTTAACAAGATGAACATTTTCTTGTCTCCATATCCATCACAAAGGAAGTTCTCTTGGATCTTTGCATTCTTTTTTTCCATACTCAAAGCAGTGACATATAATATATTTGTAGGCTTTACAAACACTTTTGAACACACTAATCCTCCCTCCAACTAAGAGATGCATTTTCTTTCAACCAGCAAGCTGTTAATCAATTCCTTTATCATTAGATACCAAATATACCATTTTATGCTTGCCTCAATTAATAACCCAATGTATGAGAAAAGTATATTAAACTTTCAGTGGGTTCCTAGATGTGCTAAAATCATGGCTGATGGATTAGCAAGACAAGGGGTAAATGGAGCAGAATTGTTTTGGCATGAGGTCCTGAGGGGAGCCTGATGTAAGGATAAACTGGGGTACATAGCAATTGCTAGTCTACAAGTTTTAATAAAATTTTGATTGTTTTCAACCTAAGTAAAAAAAAGTATAAGAAAGGCAGACAACCCATAGCTCCTAAATTCCTTTCACGATTTTCAATCAAAGGTTCATCTTACATGCTTACACCAATCACTGCATTCTTTTTTCAGATTAATATATAGCAACAATACCACTTTCAAGCCCTTAACAGTGTTTCAAAAGGCATGGGAGGCGTACGCCTGGAGGTGCGCCTCCAGGCGAGGTGCCCCCAAAATGCCTGGAGGCGCATGACAAAAGCACCCATACCATTGAGGCGTCCGCCTCATGTACAGAGGCGTGAACAAAGCGTACGTTTCCAGGGAGGCATACGCTTCTGGCATCACCTTCGGAAAGAGGCTTACGCCTCCCACGTGTGGCAATTTAAACATGCACAAGATTTAATTGTTTTACTTTTTTAAATTTCTAATTGGTGGGGCCACGATTATATCATGGCCCCCAATGTAGGATCATGTTTTTAAGTGTAAAAGAGGGGGAAAATATCCCTCCTTCGATTATTTTCTTAACTCAAACCTTTAGGGCTCGAAAGAGAGGAACTCTGAACTTTGAAGTGTGAAACCTGCAAAGTGCGAAGAACAAGTCTCAACTCAGTTTCAACCTGCAACTTCGAGCAATCTGGTATGTGTATTTTTTTTCTTTTCCTTTCTTCTTTCGCACTTTGCAGCCTGCAACTTCTTTCTTCTTTCTTCTTCTTCACGTCACATACTCAGTCTCAAATATGGTGGTCTTATTTTTCTTTTATTCTTTTTATTTGCAATTGCAATCGAAGAGAGGTTGGAGTTGCTGGACCGATGTTGTGGAAGTAGGAGAGGATAATGTGGTTCGAGTAATCATAGATAATCATTCAAGTTATCTGCTTGCTGGAAAAAAGTTGACGGAAAAGAGGACAAAATTGTATTGGACTCCTTGTGCTGCACATTGTATAGATTTAATGTTAGGGTCCATTGGGAAGATGAAAGTTTTTAATGAAACAATTGAGAAGGCAAACCATGTCACAAAATTTATTTACCGCCATGGATAGGTTTTAAACTTGATGAGGAGTTTCACAAAAAACCAGGAGATTTTACGTCCAGCAATTACTCGGTTTGCCATTGCTTACTTGACATTGCAAAGCATTTATAAACAGAAGCAACCTCTTCAATCAATGTTTGCTTGTGAAAAGTGGAAAGGGAGCAATTGGAGTAAGCATCCTGAGGGTGTCAAGGTAAAACAAACTATAATGTTTGATGGTAGATTTTGGCCTCAGGTAGCATTTTGTGTAAAGACCACTTTGCCAATTGTTGTAGTGTTGAGAGAAGTTGATTCTGAAGTAAGACCCTCAATGCCTTATTTATATGAAATGATGGATTCAGCAAAGGAGCAAATTGCATTTGCTTGTGGTGGGATAAAGAGTAAATATATGCCTATTTGGAATAAGATTGATGAAAGATGGACCCCTCAACTTCATGTCCCTCTTCATGCAGCAGGTTATTATTTAAACCCACAGCTACGCTATGAGCCAAATTTTTCGAATGATCGTGAAGTAAGAGAGGGATTATTTGAATGTATGAAAAGGATGATTCCTGATAGGCATGAGCATGCCCTAGTAGATTGCCAGTTGGATATGTATGATAAAGCACTAGGAGATTTTGGTTGTGACATGGCAATTGATACGAGGAAGAGGTGATCTCCTGGTAAATGGTTTATTTGTTTGATAAAGCACTAGGAGATTTTGGTTGTGACATGGCAATTGATACGAGGAAGAGGTGATCTCCTGGTAAGTCGTTTATTTGTTTGATAATTAGTATGCAACTATGCATAATTCTTTTTTTTTGGATATTTTAAAGCTTTACTAATGTCTTGTTAAATGATATCTTTGTAGCTGATTGGTGGGCATAGTTTGGAACCCAAACACCAGAGTTAACAAAATTTGCTATTCGAGTTTTGAGTCTTACATGTAGTGCTTCTGGTTATGAAAGAAACTGGAGCACCTTTGAGCAGGTTATTATTTATTTTCTTATTTACTTTTTAGGTTTTTATGTAATAGTTGTGTTTTGTCAATGTTATTAATAATATATACTTTGTCTTTGTACTAGATACACACAGAAAAGAGAAACAAATTGGAGCAACAAAGGTTAAATGCTTTAGTTTTTGTGATGTATTAACATGAAGTTGAGGGAAAGAAACATGAAGAGGAGGGCAAGTGCAAGTATTGAACCCATTTGGACACAACATATGGAGGAGGATAATGAATGGATTATTGAAATTGAGGATCTAATTCTTCCAACTAATCCTTCTTGGGTGGATAATCACTCTTTGGGCCTTGAAATTGCCGTAGTTGAGGTGGTTGAAGATGCAGATACAAATTTAGTAGAGCCAACAACCCCTACCAGCAAAAAAGGATCAAGTGGAAGAAAGAGGGGCTCAAGTGATGGTGGCAACAAGACATTTGATCATAGAAATCAAAAGGGTCAAGCTATTGAATCTCAAACTAAGTAATAATTAGTGTATATTGATTCTATTCTTCTAGTGGTCCAATTAATTTTCTAGTTGAGGATTATTAAGTGAGGTGACAATTGCAATTGGATTTTGTTTGTAGGGACAAGGAAAGGCAAGAGTGTTGAACTAAATTTGATTGATGAGGATGAAGATGATGAAATAGGGAGAAAGAACCACATGATGTGGATGCAACTCTTGAAGCAAATGATGATGCCTTTGTTATTCTAGAAGAAGATGATTTAGAGTCTTTTGATTGAGTTTCAGTCCTTAGAGTTTTTTTTTTTTTTATCTGCATACTTGAATAAAGAATTTTATTTCACATTTTCACTATGTTATATTGTTAGTTGGAGTTGAAAATTGAGATTTAGAACACAAATATTGATTGAAATTAAGTCATTTTAGTGTTATATATGTTTTTATGCTCAAAATATCTATTTTTATTAACATACCCACTATAATAATAAAAAAATACATACTTGAGGCTTATGCCTCCTGCGTTCTGAACTATGTGTCACGCCTCCGCATTTTAAAACATTGGCCCTTAAGTATGGTTTTAACCACTCCAACCGTATACACCTACAGCCCTACAAAATCGCTGTCAGCCTACAAATAGCAGGTGTGAGAGAACTTTTCCTCTATCCACCACCTTGAAATCATCAATAAGACCAAAACTTTCTGCTTTAAGGACAAGTCAATGGGGGATGATCAAAACTTTCAAGTCCCTGTCCTAAGTTTTTTCGTGCAAGCCTGACCCAGCCAAGGCTGACCCTAGGCCTCAACATAGGCCAGGGGCCAAGGCTTCATAGTTAAGGCACAATATGTGCAACGTTTCAGGCAAGAAGCACAACTAAAGTGCCTCCTGTTCCTAGAGTCTTAAGTGTGAGGCACAAAGCAAAAAAAGCCTAAAATCTGAGTCATCAAAATAGCACCCTAAGATCAGTCAGCTAATTTTATCATCCAAATAATTTGTCAAAATTTAATCTAATCGGGCCCATCATCCTAAATATTTAGGTTAACGAAGTGGTCTCCAAAGATCAACCAAGTGATGTACCAAGATTTGAGAAGCAACCTAACGTATTCTATAATTATTTTTTGACAAGTCTAATTAAGTGAGGTGTATGTGAAATTTACCCCCAAAAACTTAGTACATAAGCTCTAAATTATAAAGAAAAAAAATATATATATATATATATTTCTTTTGTCAAGGATAAAAGACAGTTTGGTTGGGCCAAGTCCTTCCAACAAATATAAGAGAGTGTACAAGAGGAAGAGATTAAAAAGGCTTAGAAGTGAAGAAAAAGGGTGACGAAAGGAGGGGGGGTGGGGAGCTTCAAGTTGTCATAAGGGAGATAACGCTGACCTCGACAAAAGAAGGGCTGGAGGTTAGGCCAGGGCCAAGGGATAAGAAGGACGAGGGAAGTCAAGCTGGTGAGAGTAGTCTTGCTTTGTCTCAACAAGCTGACAAGGAGGGGGAGAAAGTGATTAAGAGCATGGTGGACAGGGAGGCTAGAATTGGCAAGAGTTTAGGGCTATTCTTTTGGGAGGTGAAGAGTTCGCTAGAGGAGGTTTTGAAAATTTTGAAATGAGAAAAAGGAAGAGAGAATGAAGAAGAATTTGCGATGGAAAGAAGAAAAAGTTTGGGATAAGGACAATGATGGGCAAGATGAGACGTTTGAAGCTGAAACTAGCCAATGTCTGAAGTGTGTGTCTGTGGGGGGGGGGGGTCTCATTCTTTCTTTTTGTTAGTTTTGTGTCATTGCAAGCCTTGCTGTAAGTGTTGTAATCTGCTTTTTATTTTATCAAAAAAATTTTTTTTTGATCAATAACACTTTCATTAAATCATCAGTAGAAAATTTATAAGTGGAAGCCAAACACACTTATCTTCCAAGAGCCACAAAGAGCCTCAAGAAAGGAAAAAAGAAAAAAAGACACTAAAGTTACAGATTAGCCCAAAACAGTGAATCCCTTTCTGCCCCTTGTTTAGCTAAACCGTCAGCTAGGGAATTAGCCGATCTTTTAATCCAACATGTCTTAACTTCCATCTCCCGCACCAGCCACTTGAATTTTTTTCTTTTATTCTTCAAAAACAATTAATCAATAATTATGCAGAATACAAGCATCCCTTAAAGAGGCACAAGATGCTACTTCTCCCAATAAACATGTAAGTTACAAATTACACTTGAGCCCAATACAAATGATTTCTATTCACCCCTTGCTTAGCTAAAGTATTTGTCATGCCATTTGCCAATGTCCTCACCCATTGAATCCTCAAGCTTATACTTCTAGTGAACCATTTGAATTTTTTCATCTCATCCCTAAAGCCTCAAATTATCGAGTTCAGTTCCTTCAACCATTCTACCACTAATTTTGAATCCCCCTCAATCACCACATTTTACATATTCAACTCATTTGGATCCCCTCTTATCCCAGAGGGGCTTGAGTGATTGCTCCAATCAAAGTTTAATTTCACAAAACCTTCAAGAGGAGACTACCAAACCATATTCCCTTCTTTATTGAAAGAGTTTGTAGACTCCCCCCCCTTGAATTTCTCCAAATATCATCAAAGGAGAACTAAGAGAATAAGTCCAGAGTTTTAATCCAATGTATTACCAGGACCATCACACAATCTCTCAATGCTTCTTTGCTCCTCCCCTTCTCCATGAAAATTATTGCATTCCTTTCTTCCCAAATAGTCCAAATCAAAGTTGTCGGCCCTCAGCCCCTCACACACCTCCACATGATTCTTCCCCTTCTCTTCAGCCAAGCAAAAACTAAGGGATCAAATAGCATATTTACGTCCTCTGGTTGACTCTACTCGTGCCCAAACAGTGAGAAAAACCATCCCCAAATATCAACAATAACAGGACAAGAGACAAAAAGGCAGTAACAACTCTCACTATTGGCTTTACATAGAAGACACCGATTTGGGGCTACAAAGAGAGAAGGGGAGATAAACTTTCCTAGCTCCCCTCCAAAAGGTGAAAACAAAAATTACAATGTAGCCTAGAACAAATTGTTTCTGCCCACCCCTTGCTTGGCCAAAACATCAGCCAAACAATTAGCATCTCTCTTAGTCCAATGCAGTTGAATCTCCATGCCTAGAGTTAGGAACCTGAATTTCCTTTTTTCATTTATATAGTCCTACAAGCCCGCCTCCTCCTTTTGAAGCCATCCAATAATGAGCTTTGAGTCCCCTTCAATTATTAGCTTGGAAATATTTAATTCCTTGGCCTTCTGAACTCCTTCCATTACAGCATAGGTTTCAGCTCTCAACTAATCACCCACTCCAATAGGGCCTGAGAAAAGAGCCCTAATGACACCACTTTCATCTCTAAAAACACCTCCAAGTGATCAACCACAGGGCCATTGACCAAAATCGAAAAATGACATGTCCTAACACAACTGAAAATCCACTTGTACCATCTATCACCAAAACCAAGATTTTTCATTACCTCAATCAGAAAACCCCAATCAACCAAATTATAAGCCTTCTCCAAATCCAATTTACAAATCAAGCCCTTTCTTCTTGATCTCTTAATCTCATCAACACACTCATTGGCAATTAAAATCTGATCAATAATTTGTCTATCCTTAACAAAGGCCCTTTGAGATGGAGAGATCAGCGAAGGTAAAACAACCTTAATTCTCTGGGAAAGCACCTTAACTATGATTTTGTACAAGCTGCTGATCAAGCTGATTGGTCTGTAGTCCTTAGGGCACACTGCATCAGGCTTTTTTGGGATCAAGGCAATAAATGTGGAATTCAGCCCCGGATTGATTACATCTCTCCCTAAGATTTTTTTTTTAGAAAAAGGTAAGGTAAAATTTTATTAATATTGAGATAAGATATAAAGGGATCCCCTAAGGAAAACCTTGATGGGGTCCAACCACTACAACCCCTGAACTACAAATCCCAAAAGTTGCTAGAATTCAGTCTAGCCCCCAACAATGAGGCATGAATCCCTTTAGTTGCCGACACCCAAGAGATTAATTTTCCAACTAAAATCAAAATTAAATCCACCTAAGTTCTAGCAGGAGCAAGTTTCGGCAACCCCTTTAAGTCCTAGCTCCAAAGCAACTCCTTTATTGAACCAAGCATTACCCATGCAAGGCGTACAGCAAAGAAATATTGGTTCCAAACTTTAACTGAAACAGGGCAGTGAAGAAATAGGTGACAGCTATCTTCAACACCTTGCCCACACAATACACACTTCTCCCAAAGAAATCATTTTTTAAAATCTCCCAACAATCTTGGTAGAAAACCATCGTAAAACCATCTAGGCCAGGGGCTTTGGATCTATCCATAGAAAACATAGCTTCTTTTATCTCCTCAATCTCAAAGTTTCTTTCCAACCAATCCTTAGAACTTTCAGTCAGTTTGGGCCAATCTAAACCACCAAGCCACACTCTTCTATCCAAGGGTCTCCTAAAGATTGATTTAAAGTGATTCACAAAGGCTTGGGCAATCTCATCATGATTGGTCAAGGTAACACCTTCCACCACCAATTCGGAGATGTGTTTTTTCCCATTAGCTAGAGCATTGAAAGATTTGGTATTTCTATCTCCCTCCTTAAGCCAATTATTCCTTGATTTTTGTCTCTAATTTGTTTCTTCCTTCAGCAAAAAATCCTCCAACTGTCTCCTTAAGCCCCACCTTTCTTCTTTCTCTTTCCTAAAGCACGCTTGAAGTTTCCCTTACATCTAAATCCTCAATCCTTTTAATTAGAACTTGCTTCCTCTCCTCAAGTCTCCCAAATTGATGGACGTTCCATTCCTTAATTTTGGCTTTGAGCTCCTTCAGCTTCTAGTGAAATTTCATGCCTTCCCATTCAGCCCTTGGATTGCTTCTCTCCCAGCATTCCTTAACCTTTTCAATAAAACCATCTGCACATAGCCACATATTCTCAAACCTCAATGGTGTCAAACCTCTTCCCTCCAAATCCACCTTAAAAATTAAGATAGGCCAATGATCATAAGTGATCCTAGGTA